GCGCCTGCAAAGGGGAATGAATGGGTGGTAAATCTTTCATAGCGAGACGCCGTACCGTTATATGGTTTGGGCGAATCACACAAAGTGGAAGACCGATACAAAAGGATAACTGTACCCGTAGCCCAAGCTATACACGCACGATGTCCTTTGTTCGCATTCATCCATTGTAATGCACAAAGTAGCGAAGCACCCTCCACAGGGCCTGAGTCGCGGAGAGAGTCGAGACCCTAAGAGAAACGCTGAAGTTAATGGTTGGACATGGAACTGACGAAGATTGGATCCCATTTTCATTACCATTGTGATTTTGTTACGGAATTCAAGATCTTTTAGATTGGGGGCCTTCCGGTAGAACTACATGGGTATGGCTGCTGAGAAACGTGAGCGTAGTTGTGGTCAGTAGTCAAGCGAAATCCAATTTGAAAATCGAGAATACACGTGGCCCCAATCAAGAAAATCTGAACTATCCCGGGCCGGCGATCTTCCACCTCGACCTCGACGGAACGTGTTCAACGTCCTTTATCTCTATGGCAGCGTAGGAACTATGACTTGGTTGTCTTACCGAACTGAACCTAGGGCGACTAAAGTTTCATCAATTGCAATGGCATTTCTTCAGCGGACTCGTCCCGCTTAATCTCGGCCGAAACGATGGCGATTCCATTCCACCGCTGGTACTATGCTCATCACGGAGGGAGCACCTGTCCTATTTGACTCAACGGTATTTGATTTTTTTCATCTGAACAACGAGGCTTCGTCTCATTGGTCTGGAAGGATCACGCTAAGAGACTCTGGGTAGGAGACAAGGCTCCCTAGGCTTGGTGATGTTGTTTCCATCGTCTCCGGATTGTATAGACGCGACCAATACTTAGCCCCAATAGCGTAGCTCTTCCTGGTCTATTTCGTAAACTACGTCTTACCGGACCCTGCACCGTTCATCTTTGCTTCATCTCGGCCGCTATTGAATTCCTCCCCATTTCCTGGATTGAATGGCAAGACGAAGCTGTGACCAGCACTCTGTTTGACACTTCCGAGGCTATGGTTCTTGATCGGTGACAGGGTGGGCAAGTTCAATACTGAATACTAGACACCGCGTATTATCTCTGGTCCAGATAAAGTTCCCTGTAATTTTTTTGGCCTAGTGCTGTTCCTAGCTAACTTCCGGCTATCCCGTAAATTTCAAAGGCGGTGCTCACCATGCTCCACCAGTAAGATAGCATCAGTCTTCAATTCAATTGGTAGCGGAACTCCGCGATCTAACGTGATCCCACATCTTGGCTCTTTCACACATCCCTGGGCTGATGATACCACAGCCTCACCGCATTATGAGTGCCGTTATCATCGAGCTTAGGACTAGGTTCCTATATCGGAGGCTTCGTCAAGTTCCAGAGACGCGGAACAGATTGGTATTATACAGTATCTTTGACCAGTACAGAGCCAATCGAAACGCCTTAACCGGCGTAAAGCTTTAATTATGAGCTTCTTTGACGCTGTGTGACATTGTATCGGCACTTCAAAGTTGAGGTGCGTATGGTTTACTGTTCCCTCAGTGACTGTGACAGATTGCGAGTTTCTATTTCTTTAGATATTGATGATCTATACTCTGGTGCAGCTGAGTCCATTGCCGTCCTACGAGGAACTCGCACAACAAAACAATGTTGACCGCCGAGAAGGGATCTGTATGTCCAAAATTCCCAATCCGATTCGGAGACTATAATAATAGCCCACTCTGTATCGGACGGCTCGAAATGCACCAATAAGGGAATTGTCCGCCGAACCGACGCTTTCTTGTCATCCCCTCGTTTTCGACTTTCTGAAGCGCTCATTCCGGCGTCTCAGCTAACTTTAGGTATGTCCTGGATAAATTTATTTATCGTCCCTCGTCTAATTTCATGGAATGTCGATCAGGGGAGGCGCGGACCGTTATTCTTAACATACGGGCCTTAGGGCACCTATTTCTGTGGTCGGTAGATCAGGGTCTGTCTTCGTCGGTACGATGTTATTCATAACTGACATAGGACTCGGGCTATTCATGTATTTGATCAAGGATATTATTGGTATATGAAATTCCAAGTTCATTCTTAGCAGATAACCGGTTTGTTGATGGGGCCGATGTTCGTGGTATATATACTGACTCATTTATGCTGATAGGCTTGCGAACATCTTCCCATCGAATTCCGACCTAAGATCATACACGTTGCGCGAATTATTTCTTTTGCAAGCGGTTGTCTTCTCCTGTAATCTGGGTAGGTCTGCGACCATATGTTATGAGTCTGGTGTATCACTAAATGCCGTCGACCGAAGGAACTCTCGCCTAGTACCCGGTCAACGCCACAAAAATTTGGTTACCGAACGAAAGCGTCATAACCGTTCACGACTTGCATCGTCGTGTCCGAACATCGGGTTCAGAATCTGAGGCTAAAGAGACCGAAGGGCGAGCACGGCTCGATGACCGGTAACCGATGTCAAGCTGCCTTTTGTGGGTTACTTCATGCAGCAGAGACGAGTTTCACTCAGAAAGGTTACATTGAACGACCGCTTTCACGTTCATGGAGCACCGCCTGAGAGTGTGTAGCACATGGATACTGCGTCACTCGCCCTTCAAAGAATCGCTCTATGGCACACGTCACTTATAATCTCTGGCAGTTTACACGTTTATACAACATATAGGACCGCACTGGGACGTCATTATCGGCAAGCGAAAGGGGGATCAAGTTCGAAAGGAATATATTATCTTATCTTATCATCCAACCAAATGATGACCCTGACTATCGCGGCCAACTACGGAGATACCCTTCCTCACCGCTTTACAGCGCTCCACCAACTTCGATTTTAAACTTCGTCACCCCCTACCCCCCCCATACGTCGGTTCTTAACATGAACGATGATCACGTACGGTATACAATATACTACTCAATGGTAGTTACCTTAGGCCAAACCTTGGCACACCGCATTCGTTGAATTAGGTTCACACAGCCCCGTGCGAAGCTTCTCAAGTTCTATGCTGCTTCTCCGTGAATTTGAATCATAGAGGAAGCATATTCGCATGTTATTGATACCCCCATTGTAAGTTTCTCCTCCTCTGACGTTCAGAATCAGCTCAATTCACGAACCTCAGAACGCAAAGCTCCCTTTGAATCGCTTGTCGAAGGTCCATATAGCGAGAAAATGACGGCGTCTATCCTTCTGCAATGTTCGGATGATTGGAGAACTTTGATGAGATACCATTTGTATTTACCCCGCCACTGTTTTTCTATGCACATGCAACTTAATGTTCCAGGTCTACGGAAGCTCGGCGATCTATTCATTTGGCACCGTGTAGAGCTAGGCTCAGTGAATAGAATTACCACTCCAGAACCATTCGCAGCATGGGCGATTCATCAATACCATGCAGCCCAGTAAAAATTTCAAAGCGTCAGCTGCTTATTTTCTCATTCGTTGACGCATCGCATTAACGGCTAGCCCTCCGCAGTATCACCTAACACAGCGATGCTGCGCGGCTCTATGAAGGTTCTATCAACAAGACCGGAAGGACTGTCTTTCCTTCCGACGTTGGGCAAAACAGTCCTGCAGACGATACGACTCGCGGTGATAGGCGGGAGAAAGCAGCCAACGAAGGTTCTTTCCATTCTTCAGATTTTTTCCCTGGTTCGTCGTCCATCTCCCGCGCAGCGGCAGCCTACCTGACCACTCAACGGTCACCGTTTCGTTCCCCAGCGCCATCATTGGTGAGCTATCAACGGACCCTGCGAAGTATGATGGTAATACAGGCGGCTTCTCGTGTTTTTTTAATATGGCGTCTATCTTTGGGGCGCTACGCTGTATATTTATTTTTCTCTCCGGAATTGAACGCCTTTTCCGGCCCTTATCATCTATTATTGTGTTGCTAATTTTATTTACACCTCCAGTTTTGATATTTTCTGCGTGGAAGATGTCCGGTCCGGTCTCTTGTCCTTCAAAAGTCAGGACCTCGGGGCGTGCATGTATCCAACTAGCTGGAAAAGCGCCTCTTTAATCCCTTTGAGATAGCTTCATTCCGGATAGAAGGCGCCAGTCCCCCGAGCGTGAGTAACTTATTCTTTATGTTGCTCAAGGCGGTGTCTTTATGGGAAACTATTCATTTACCGTAGCCCCTGTTGTTGGTCGAACCATTCCTCTTATCATGGCTGGGGCGACTTACCAATCCTCTCCGTCGATAGACCCCACGGGACACGGTGTTTCTCCATTTGCTTGAATACTCTCATACTGATTGCACTCCGTAGTTCAAGTGAATTCTAGTCCCGTCGATTCCTCGGTGCAATCCTGGGTGTTCACAGAGTCGGTCGGCTAACCAGACCAACCTGGGGGATTTTTACTAGTCTCGCTCTCCTCGTTTTCGTTTACTTCTTCCGCCACTCTCAGGCCTAACGATTTATATCTGTTAATCTACCGAGAGGTGACACTTGGATAGAGTGTGCATTCATAATTGTCTACTTCTCGCTGGAAGCCCCACATACGTACAGAATGACAGTCCTCTTGCTTACGTTCTGCTATTTCCTTTGGGCTGTTCGGATAACGTGGGGAGGGCGCAGTCGGTGGTACTTGGACCAGTCCGCCAAAATGATCTACGGGGGGGCGCGGTTCCCGTTCTTGCCGGACCAGCCGCCTCTGAATGGAAAGTGCCTGCCTCCCTATGGATGGAAGGGCCTAGTCCCTAATGCCGGTCAGTCACTGTCGGGCCCGCTTCCGCCCTTTTCTACAACGAATGTTCCCCCCGTTTACGAAACACTCGACACCTAACTTATAAGTAACTCGGACCCTATAAACATGTTCGATCTCACCACACCCCACCCCGCGTGTTATTTTAAGGGGATCGGCGTGTGGCGTTTGACGAGGGCACGGATAAATGTCGCATCGGGTTTTCGGGAGGGCCCCCATTTCGAATTTGGGGAAGGGATGGTCAGGGTCGTGGATGATAAAGGTGGGGGAGTGGTCGAGGTAGGGTACACAGTGCGTTAGCTGTACTATCCCTCTTAGCTCAGTTGGTAGAGCGCGTCACTAGTACATTCAGAGATAGTAAACTTATGACGAGGTCAGTCGTTCAAGTCGGCTAGAGGGAATTTGAATTGAATCATCAAACTTTTACGCACTCTTATCTTTTGGTACTCAGTTCTCTCCAGTACTGACACTTTTTGATACAACCTATATTAAAGATCAGGTCCTCGTTGTGGATCATGAAGGAAACTTTATATCAATCCAAAGTGCTATTAGATTCAGATTTAATTATTTCGCCGTTACAAAAGAATCTGAAGCTCGACGTATTGTGTACTTGGTAAGGAGAGGTGGAGAAAGCGGACGTCAGAGCATGAACCTGTGTCCAGCCTCAAACCCAAACGCCTCGTCATTCTATCTGTCACCAAGAAACTCTTGTCGTAAATCGTCTACCGTGCAGATTGCTCGTGGCAGTCGATATACGAGAGAACGGAGTGGTGTATTCGAATGATGTAGCGAGCCTCGAGCGATAAGGAAGCGAGGTGAGGGTGCGATGGGTATCATCTCTGCTCCAGCCTGGATCCGGTCTGAACAGCGAACGCCTCGTCGCTCTATCTGTCGCCAAGAAAATACTGTCGTAAATCGTCCACTGTGTAGACAATCGGTGGCGCCGGTATAGTGGCGGGCTCGAAGGACTAGATGGCTCGCGAAAGTGCGTCTATCTCCTTCACGTGTTAGGTCGACCGTCGAAGGCTGCAGTTAGTGGCGCTTCGGAGTAGGAAAAAAAAACACAAGCAGCGACTCTCACTTGACAGAGTGGAAATGAACGTGGGCTCAAAGGGTATTGATTGTTGCCAGGATCGAGACCGCTCGAATGCAGGAGGGAGGGGGCAGGGTTCTTCTGAAACCCAACGTAATGATATACGAGCCGGGAGATGTGTTTTGGCGAGAGAAGGGGGGGTTGGCGTTGGTGGACGGGGCTATCGGAAACGATGAAGACGCCCCACCTAGGAGAAGGTATGTTTTTTTTCTCGGGCAACGTAACGAGTGACTTGTGTCCTCGCTCGCCCCTTGAACGTAAGATATTCGGGAAAGGGCGAAGGAGAGACAAGCAGGGAAGGAGTCGGAGGGTGGGGGGACGTAATGGAGTACCACGTTGGGCCTTTGAAGGAAGACGCGAGGGTGGACGATAGTCTGGTGTAAGGCAAGAGGATTACCACGGCTGTAACGGAGCCGATGTCTGGTGTGGTCATGAGCTTGGACGGTGCCGCAAATGAGGAGGAAGGGGCGAGGCTCCGCACAAGATGGGATAGAGAGCGAGATGGGGGAAGAAGGATTTAGCCATGCCCCACCCGGGGATATGGTAGACCGAGTAAAAAAGGGCAGGGAAGAGGCCAAACAACGACTGGGAAATGAAGAGAGGTAGGGCGATTCGCTGGTCTGGAACGCAGAAAATACAAATGAGAGCGAATAAGAGGAGATGGGAAAGGGAGAACAAAGGGCGAGAACCAATGAGGTGACGGGGATGAACGGGCCAATGAAGATGGGGGGAGACAAAGAGCCAATGGGAGGGTCGACCGAAAAGAGAGGTATTCTCCCGCGGCATATATGTCGAGCATGCACAATCCCTGCGGCTTCCGTATCTCGACGTGTCCGAACTGGAGGTTTCCGTTGATGGGTTACGGGTAAAATATCCGAAAGCAGGGCGTAAAGGGAGGACGTGATGCATGTGGAATTTATTATTCTGTGAGCGGTCAAAGAATCATCAAACGCGTCGAGTGATTGGTGGTGAATGTATGACGTCAAGTGGAGATAGGGTAGAGGCGAGAAGAAGAAAGGCGGGAAGATGGGAGTCGACCGTCGGACGCGAACTTTGAATTGAGCGCGTGCGGGAGCCTGGGAGGGTTAGGTAAACACCCGACGATATCATTGCGGGTGACGGCATCCCGGGAACTGCAACCATCAACAAACAAAGGGTGTTTTTTGTTGATGCTTCCTAGTTGAGAGAGTGGGAAAGAGACTGCGCGAAGCTAGGAAGATATAACGAAAATGGGTTTATTGCGGGGCGGGCGAGGGAAGGAAAGCGCCGGGTTGGGCGGAGATTCAGAAGATACGGCCGGTGGTTACCAGGCGTTGAGGGTGCATTGTAAGTAATAAGAAGATCAACACCACGGGATCAGGGGAGAGGGGGGGCGCAAAAAAAATAATTAGTGGGTAAACCGTACGTCTGGGATCAAGGATATGGGGACACGTTGATGGATTGATCCCACTGCTCCGGTCATTGACTGAGATCGAAAAGACAAATGAGATCCGAAATCGTCGAACCCGATCGCCGGGAGCAATAATACCGCCACCGAGATGTATTTGGAGATGTTTGTGCGCGGCATGTCGGCAAGTGCAATACATACCCAAGGGCAAAGAGGGCGACAAACTTCCCACCTCGTACCCACCACCACCTTGCCTTTAGCACACATCGCCATGGGACGCCGAAAGATTGAGATACAGCCGATTACTGTGAGTCCTCGACGCTGGGCCTGTGGTATTGGTGGATATGAGGCGCTGATGGATTTTTTTTGGGTGCGGGTGTAGCATGAACGAAACCGGTCGGTGACTTTTCTAAAGGTACGCTAATCTCTGTCCCCATCCCCTTCCCCCCAACGCTTCCCAGCCCCATCCTCTCCTCCTCCCATCTTTCTTTATCCCAACGGTCGCTGCTATTTTTGTCCCGACACGAGACTAATAAAGTTCTTGGCATTTCCTCTTTATTTTTGGCTCGCATCCGTACCGACTCGCAGAGGAAGAATGGGCTGTTCAAAAAAGCGTACGAGCTCGGTGTGCTGTGCAGTGTGGATGTTGCTGTGATCATCTTTGGTGCGTGTTCGAGCCTGGGGCTGCCAAGAACACTCGGCTGACGCTCGTCTATTTTTAGAGGAACGCCCGGGGCATCATGTCAAGCTGTACGAATACTGCTCGGGAGATACCAGGGATATTGTCCAGAGGCATTTGCGCGTATGTTTTTTCTTCCGGGTCGCTATAGGGGTCGCTGACGACGCCGTGCCAGTACGAGGGCGAGAAGGATACGCGTGGGCCAGGCGACTTTTCTGGCGCGGTCAAGATTATCGACGAGGAGGAGGAAGAAGAGGAGGAGGAGGTCGTGTCCGCTGTGCCCTCAAAACGCAGGGGCAGTGGCCGCCTCAGACCTGTTGGCGCGGCGGACCTTGGCGAGGTGAGTCAGCGTATCCACTCTGCTTTCCGGCGTCGTGCTCGACGATGGCGAACACGTTGTGCTCGCTGTTGTCCGCGCTGTCGCCATGGCGTTGAAACTCCGTCGCTGCTGTTGTCAACGCCCCAGATCTTGGCTTCCGTCACCCGCGCTGCTTCTCTAATCCCTTCTTGTCTCACGTACCAACTAACCCACTCCTTCTCCCGACAGCTCGACTATCCCCACCAACAGCATCACCACCACTCACACATCCCGCCCCCGCCGCCCCGTGCGATGGCGATACCACCGCCGCCCATGCCCCAGACGCCCATCCAGCAACCATCAACGTCGTCCTCGTCCATCCCCATCTCCTCCCTTCGCCACCCTCATCCCAACCCAAATCCCCACAAGAAGCAGCGTCTCTCCCCGCCTGGCGTCTCCGGACCTGGCATGCACAGTCGTTCCTCCTCTGGGTCTGGGTCCGGAGGAGGCGGAGGAGGCACGGGAGGAGGAGCCACAGGCCAAGGAGGCTTCTACCCCCCACCCTCCGCGCAGTACCACCATGCGCCCTTTTACAGCGGCGGAGGCGGCGGCGGTGGAGGAAGTGGAGGAGGAGGAGGAGGCGGTGGGAGCAACTTCTCCACAACTGCCCAATTCGGAGGCGACAGGCGATACACGGGCTACCCACTGAGTGCAACCATGTCCCGTGCCAGCGGCGAGATCTTTAACCTCTTTGACGACCATGGCAGGCCGGGCTCGTCCAGTGGTACAGCGGGAGCAGGTGGAGGTGCGGGAGGCTTTGATTGGCCGATACATGCCCCGCCGAATGCCCAAGCTGGTGCTGGACCGACACATAGTCCAACTCAGGGCAGAGTTGACGGCGCGTGGCTGGACTTTTTGAGTACAAGTAATGGCGGTCCAGGTGGGAGTAGGCCATCAACTAGTTGGGAAAGGGATACGGGCGCTGGAGGTGATGAAAGTGGAGTCGTTGAAAAAGAGGAAGGGTAGTACATTTTGATATACACGATTAGTTGGACCGTCTTTTCTTGTTCGTTCGTCTGCGTTTGACTTGTTTTTGTTTCTTGCGTTGGAGTAAAAGTAACGGTGTTATTTTAAATGTAGTTTTTTATAGAGTTGCGCAGACAAAAAGGCTTGCCCCCTAGCCGACTTGAACGACTGACCTTGTCATGTAGCCTCCGTACGAGTGACACGCTCTACCACTGAGCTAAGAGGGCTACATAGGTAGGTAATCCCATGCATATACAGTGATCCCTGTTATCGCGACTGCAAGCCCATCAAAATATGATTCTCAACTCACATCGCCGATCTTTCAGCTATGCGATGCGATGGATCGCATTTCAAGAGCTAATTGTAAATATACAGCGTCCGCCGTCCGTTCATCGCTCCTTCCGTTATACCGGTCAATTTCACGTCCTTCGGTGTTCTCAATTCTAGGGAAGCACACGTCCATGTCCGAGAACGTCAAGAGCTGTAATTCCTTTGAGAAGACAGTACCGTCATGTAAAACATGGTCCAGGAATTTGCAGGTAATCAAAGAGTCATTCCCTGTGTTCTGGTTGCTATTAGCTGTATCAAAAGACTACGACGGCGTACAATAAAAACAGACGCTTGTACTCCTTCTGTATTCCCTCTAGCCGACTTGAACGACTGACCTCGTCATTACATGCAATGCTAGGTGATACTAGTGACGCGCTCTACCAACTGAGCTAAGAGGGAGAATATGCAGTTAATTATTTACGTGTTCCCTGAGATCGTCACACTAAGAGGCATTCCTGAGTAATCTGAGAACGACCACTCTTTACCAGCCATTCCAAGAGATCGTCCCTTGTTGAAGACTAGCGGCGGACGTATTCATTTAAGAGGCGGAATGCTATAAAAGTTTGCATGATATTAATTGAATTTTTAATTCCCTTCTTCACAACAATAATTATAGGATAGGACGCGGTGAACTAGGTTCAAGCCAGAATCTAATATCAGCGGGGCGTATAGGTATGTGATTATCGGGTGAATGTTTACACAGAGAGGTAATTTACCAGAATTTACAAAGGTTGCTAGTGGATGGACGGAGTCGGTAAATATGATGACGAACGGAGAACCCAGTACCCACGAAGGAATTAGAACCTTGTCATCTATGGTGGGAAAGCATGACAAGATAAATTTCACCGCCTTCCAAGTTCTAGAAACCCAGCGTGGGTGAGCCGACCTTTTTTCAATGATCGCTGGAACGAAAGGGTCAACAATACTTCCTAACCTTAAACGTGGCAGCACGGTAGCTCGACTTGTGGGATCTGAGGATTCCTTGTGTCAATGAGCAAGAAGAAAGAGAACGTGAAACGGGGGTCCTACCTCTGGCTTCGCGAACCAGGGGAGGTGCGCCACCGTGAAATCCCATGAAACCGCCCGAGACCCGCTTCGGTAACTAGATGGTGACGGTACATCATTTCTTGACAGGGCTCTGTCGCCACCGGATGGGAGGATGGGCTGTCGCTTCTATCTGAAGGGGCCTATCGTGATGACCATTGTTGAGGAGGAGCGCAGCAACCTCGAGGCGTACTAGCTGAATCCAACGGCCATTGAATAGAGGGGCGCACCGTACATGGCAAGGGCTTCCACACAGTTCTCCGATTCTAGATTCGTGGTCAGCGCATGGAGGAGGGAGATGACAGAGCGAAAAGAAGGGATCATATTCTCTATTGACCCAAATCTCGCCGGATCATGGCCACGGGAATCAATTAATGGTGGTGTGGGGGTTAGTACCGCGAGCGGCGTCAGAATCTGGTAAAGTGCTGAACGCCTCCACTCTCGTACCCGCGATTACGATCAGATAAGGGCCTGATAGCTGCGAAGTGTGTGGCGGGAGCATTTCGTGTGCTGGTCGAGAGCGTGGAAGACGGACGGACGGATGTCGTAGTGTGAATGCCCCACTCGCGCTACGCGGTATACCTCGGTCAGTGTGCGACCTTTCTGTCAGCGCTACCTAGTCACCAGATTGAATAGAAACAGCCGAGGATGCGGTGGGTGAGTCTCGTCACTGGCTAGACAAAGTAGCGCAATAGAGTCGATCGCCAGCAACGCATAGCAATACGTTGGCATTCATAGCCAAGACAAAAGACGCGTGGGACAGCTGCAGCATACGGTGACGACGATTGTAGTAGAGTTGCGTAAATGAACGGGGGGCGAATGACCAACGGTAGGGACGTCATCCTATAAAAAAAGTACAGCCCTAGCAATAAGATACACTTACGCCCTCAAATGTAACACCAAGGAGATGTCGCCTGTCTTAACAATACGACAACGATATTGACTCTGAGTCACAAATAAGCCAAGTCTTTTTGGATTTAGGTGGATCCGCGTAGCCGGTCGCTTGTGATTGGATACAAAGCAATGTAGCCAATGAGAATCGAGCAGTACCGAAGCTGAGTCGCAAATAGCCTAACATGCAAGTCGGTCCAAAAGTTGTTTCTACTTCAGTTTCGGTCAAGGTCAAACTTACGGGCAACAATAACTGGAGCTACAGACCTGTGAGCCTGATTTTCAAATGTTCTCTGCGTGCGAGCTGAGGGCCGTAAGCATTCCGAGGTGGTCGTTCGTGATTAACCACAGATCGGACGGAGCATCTCGGAATTACCCGAAGGACTAATATTAGACTGTCAACCATTCTTCGCTTCGACCAACGCGACGAGAGCTTGCCTCTCTCGACACCGTCGATAATGCTCCACGTATGTGTGCCCTTTGATAAATCATAAAAAGCACGTATTCCTCACTGAAAACCGTTGTTGACCAGGAACTGGGGGTGTGGGGGGGGACTATTCTAAAGATCCTTCCGACTTCGTAAGATTCCTTCATACTCTCGACATGCCATTCCCTCAGAGTAACTCCTTCCGCTGTCTCTTCGCTACTTGCGAGTCATCGCTCGCTTTGTACCTTCCTAGTCGCTAGGATTTCATGACGACCTGGTCCCTGGTCACTGGTGTAAAATTGGCCAGGCCAGCGGAGCACCCCTCCGATGATAATGGTTCATTATCCCTCAGATTTCTCCTTCGGTATGTTTCATAAAGAGACTCATACTCATTGTAATCCTGCAGACTCTGCAAATTTTCCCTATCCCCATTCAAGGCATGTACTTATCACGTACTCGAGCGACCGCCAAGGACTCTTTCTAGTCTCGCCTTTCTTACATCTTATTGCTTTGTTGAGTCTACGCCCAACTATCCTCTACTTAGTTCGATGTCCGTAGACATGATCTCCATTCCCGTACCGCGCTTCCTAATTCTGATGAAGTGTACGAGTACAGCCAAAAGCCTTCTGTAAGGAGGTCCTCTACTACACCGGTCTCAGCTTCGGCTTGCTGAAGGTCACATCGCTGATGCTTATACACGAAGGAGGTACCCCAATGCCATCGTACAGGGACCCTCAAACACATGACAAATCCGCCAAGATGATTCCCACCTGGCTCGCTCGCACTCCGACCCGTTTCATGTGCTCGATTCCTTAGGACCATATATCCTCCCGGAATATCTAATTGTCGAGTGTGAAATGAATCCTCTCATAGGAGAGGTGCCCCGCATTGCCGCTTTCAAGCAATAGCGAACTGAGATAGAGCACAAGGGCTAAATACCACACGTTGAAGGCCAGAGCATACGTGTACATCACCATCGTCATTGTGACTTCTCAATGATCCTGGTACTTTGTGTTGAATGTCAGCGTGTTTCTATTCGACCGACGACGAGCATCATATCCGGAACTGTGGACATGCAACGATCCAGATACGTCTTCTCTGCACTTGGTTTAGTTCCATCTCAGCGGCTGACCCGCGATTCGCTGAATAATTCAGTAGGAGCTCACAGGCGACAGTCGGAGTGGGTGGATTCCATTGGACATGTTGCTTCTGGTACAGATGGCGCCCTCTCCGTGGGATAACATCATCAAACCGTGGGGAGAAACGAAACACGAGAATGGAAAATGGATAAGTCCGCAGCTGGTGCGTAACAGCGCTATTGAGTGGAGCTTCGTCGATCGTGAACCGGGGCGGTAATATCAAATGCTTCCATCCAGTGCGAGATCAGCGAGGAGCGGCGCCAGACCATACCATCCCAGGGGACGATACATGCTGCGTCAAACTATGCAGATGCATAACTACACTCCGCTCGATCAAAGAAGACATGGAAATGCCAGATTGAATCGGCATAGCCTCAGCCTCGGAGCTGGGAACTGGGGACGAATTCAATGTTGAAGAAATCCGAGGCGGCATGTCGTAGTCGCCAGTGCCGACATCGACTCAGGTGGACAAAGAAACACATACACCAAATAGAGTTTGTTTCACACCCATGCAAACCAGAGATTCCGATTCAATTCCAGTAAAGGATTGCACGCCGGGACCCTCGGTCTATGGAACATACTTGTTAGCAATGATAACAGTATAGAGTGAGATATAACGTACCAGCCTTGTTGTGAGGCTGAATTGGGTCCGGCACCGTGTCGGAAATCAGGCGGGGTCATCATTCTTTACTTATATGAAATTTGAGCGAACATTACAAGAGCTTTTTTGCAAGTTTCGGCAGTAAATTGGTTTCTTTGTTCAGAAGATAAGTACGTAGCCATTTAATAGGTCCGATAGATAATCACCCTAGGGCGGAATCTATGTGTTTTATCAGATAATGACCCAAACCGCTGAGCCTACAGACCGACGCGCAGGTAGACCGTGTAATTTTTGGTGCCGTCGGTCCGGCTATAAGACCACATCGACGAATGTGATACCCTGATATCACCGCCGAAAAGCCCATTTAGCATATCCTTGATGTTACCAAATCACACGCGAAAGCGCGCGTCATCTTGATACGTCAGCGTCATTCTTCTTGTGTTAATTGCTTAGTTCGGGGGGAAGATATGCAGATATTACTTACCAAGGCTGGAAGTGCTTGTGCGGCAGGATCTCCTTATTCAGTTTATTAGGGAGTTTGGGACCAACTGGCTGCGGCCCGACTTCGGGGAGCTTTAAATACATTAAAGATTAGATCTCAAGATCTCAGGACTGACCATGTACTACTCGCTTCTTTCCCTTTAACCACGATGGTAAGTAAAACTCATGTGTCCCTCCGCCAGGTTCATTTTCTTTCATTTTTCGAGCTTTATGCCCTCTTAGTATGTGCCAAGTTTGGATCGGGAGTTCACGAAACTCCGGCCCAACCCAGCTAAGCAAACACGCTCGTTCTTCTCTGAGTACCTTTTCCTGAATATCTTAGCCTCTACGCATTTTTTTCCTCGTGAGTCGATAGATTACCGGACAAGTACACAGATAAGAGTTAGCCGACCGACCCCGATCACTACGTTCGTCATTTTGCGGACGACGTATGTGCTTGATCAATAGCCCGCTCTTCCAGGCGGATGTTGCTTATTTCTGTCTTCAGAAACATCCTCTCGGCTAGCTAGCCATGCAGTAGCACCCTCATAAGTCCCTGTTATCAAGGACGATTATTGGAGATATATGTTTTACCTCGGAATAGACTTAGATGTTTTCACTGAGCATTGTCAGACGATTGACTTTAAACTCCAGCCTACCCATATTGCCGCTCATAGGTACCGTGATTCCAAGCAGGGGGAAGTTACAGCTTGCATCGCACGAACGAACTTCTAGAGATTTCTATATGTCGTGCATTGCAGAGAAGTAGACTCGGAGATAGCTCTCTGGGAGCACCGAATGACCCCAAAATTCTGTC